TTTAACATGATTTGCCTGAAGCTTCTCCTAACATTTCGCTTCTTGCGAAACAAAATTCATTAGTCATCTAGTAATTTTTAAGTCGGCGAAAGCAATGTATATATTGGATTCAAAGTAACACAGGACACTGACTAGTTTGTACGAATTTTAAAATATACATTTCTGCCAACTTTTTGTTTACTCAACCAAATAATTTTGTTAAAATTTTTTTAATTATCAATTTTTTTTAATTTTTTTTTAATTTTAATTTTACGATCTTCTGTTGTCCCTCGAAACGCGACGGTCACTAAGATCAAGATTTTTGCCCGAATAGCATAGTCACGATCATAAATCACTATGCCACGAGCACATCCATAGCACACCACATAGTGACAATATTATTTTTATGTATGTAGGCGTGTGTGTGTGTGTGTGTGTGTGTGTGTGTGTATGTGTGCGCGTAAATGATATATAATATATATATATATATATATATATATATATATATATTTATTTATTATGTATATGAGCAGCACAGATACAAAATCAACTGCATCCAATTTTCATCCATTTTTCATCAAATATATACACTTGACCTGATAATACGCAACCCACACGGAAATGCAAGCATTAAAAAATACTTGTATCCATATCAGTTAATAACGGTTGATATAATATTGATATGAGAAAAAAGCTCTTGGATATGTATTAAATAAATGGAAATATATTTACTCTAATACGAATAAGAAGTAATCTAAAATTCCAAGTTGCTAGAAATCAGTTACTAGGACATTATTTCAAGTATTTAAGATCCAAGTAATTTAAGACGCACGAAACGTATATAATTAATAGCACGATCAGAACCAAGGAGCCTCGAGTCCGTGGCGGAACTATAGGACGACTACGCTCTTTCAAAGAACTTCTTAGTGAGGAATCCGAGATGTGACGTAACTGGGATCTAAGTGAATCAAAAGCTAAAGCGTCAACGATCCAAGAACGCGAGCAATCTAGACTTCAAAACACGCTTAAGAAACTCGAGAGACTTGAGAAATTAAACTGCATTCGGAATTCTCGCAACTCATTATCTAAAAACGTCAAAAATAACCCGAAAGGTAGGGTCCGAATGAACAAGAGAGTAAGGTGACTTTTGGAGCTGGATGCAGTAACTTTTTGTTTCTGTGACTCTCGCGTTTACATATAATAAATAAACATCGAGTAGAATAGGCTAATAAGAGCGAATTGGTCAATCGATCGATATTATGAGAGCATTGATGGCTGCGTGCGATGCCTCCTCCTCCACTTCTACCTCCTCCTCCTCCTCCTCCTCCTCCTCCTCCTCCTCCTCCCCCTCCCCCTCCTCCTCCTCCTCCTCCTCCTCCCTTATCATCATCATCATTATCATCATTATCATCATCATCATCATCATCATCATCATCATCATCATCATCATCATCATCATCATCCAGCTAGTCACGAATTACGACGACGACGACGACGAAGATGACAGGCCTTGATCGGGCGATTTGCTGTTACTGTACCTGTAGCAAATAGCCATTAGTGCAAAACAAACGAAGACGAACGTCACCACACCCACCAGCATCAGTACCAGCCATACCGTAGAGAGATTGTTGTTGGTGCTTCCTGAAACGATCAAGCATTTTGTATCCCGTGCATGCGATGTGTACGCGCATTGACCGACCGTGTACGTTGTCATAATATGCGTGGATGTGTATGTGTCGCGTAGTAGTTGCTCCCTAATAAGCTTCTACATCGTCACTCCAATCGTGAAAGCTTCTAATTCCAAATTAACGGAATATCGACGCGCCGTCATCGTTCCGAATCAATCTCATTGTGCCGACGGTTAAGCAGGACGAATAAGCAATTCTTACACACTTGGAGTGGCGATATTTTATACTGTTGTTAATCAGCTGAATCGACATTATTCAATTTTAAAATATTAACGACCACTTAACCTAAGAGTAAAATTCAGCGGCATGGGTATCTAAAGTAAACACGGATTACGAAATATATCAATTCGGGAATTCAAGAAATTCCAATATCTTAAGCGATTAAAGCCTATCAAACCTTATCCGTAATCATAATTATAATCTCTACACAATCAGAAGAATAACCTACGACCTCTCGAGGGATAAAAGCAGGGATGTCGTGTCCGAAAGGATTGAAAGTACATGAAAGAAGTACATAAAAGGGGATCCTTCCTTCTACGTTGTTTCACCTTTTTCGTTTCGCTTGAAACGAGATCGAACGAGTGTTATCGCACGGAATATATAAAAGATAGGCTCATACACACACACACACACACATACACACACGTCTGATTTTATGTCAGCGCAGCTGATAGTACGAACCCAAAAAGATTCTGACTTTGCTCCTTATCGCGAGTCGAAAGTTAATCGAGACGATCAACTTTCAATGGTAGTATGCACGTTGCTAAAATCGAAAAGGCACAGTAGACTTTCTCCTTATCGGAAACTGCACTACTTTCGGCTAAATCGCTTTCCGTCGAGGGAACAGAGACGATTTAACATCAATCGAATGCGAGATGGGTTTACAAAAGTCATACTTTAATCTTTCACCTGGATGTTTGTCTTTACATCGCGATAATCATCATATTTTTGAGTGAAAAAGAAAATGATTTAATGTTTCGTATCTGTAACGTAGATTAAATATCGCTACGATTTAAATATCCTCCTCTCTAATATAGATGCAATTTTTTTTTTCTTTTTAATATCTTTGTATGTGTGTATGCAGGTGTGTGCAGGTGCGCGCGCGGTGCCTGAATTATGTTAGATTAACACTTCTGCTAATTTGCAAATAATAATTATAACTTTGTTGTAACACACATTTTCTCAGATTAAAAATGACACGATTTAACGGAAACTTACCACGTGCAATCCATCGATAATTATTCATCAACTTATTAAAGAATAAAACATAAACTATATATGTGACTATCGAGACTTATGTGACTTATGTGACTATCGAGTATTTCATATTTATATCACATTCTTAAATCCTACAATTAATGGAAACTTGAGTTTATCAGTCGTTCCAGCTCACTTTTTCACTTTTGCAACATGATGATGTATATATTATATCGCAATATAATTACACAATAATGTGATCACAAATAACGTTTATCTATATAAACGATACATACATACATATATACATATATATATATATATATATATATATATATATATATATCCATATCGATGTCTCAATTCAACAAAGTATAACAAAGTGATGTATACATTTCCCACGTATCGTTTTAAATTGAGATCCACATCAGACATTGGGTTACTTGAACATTTTCAAGTATCTCTTGCAAGAATTGACAATGCGAAATGTTCAAAATTGTGATACGGAAGAAAAGAAATCCTTCGTCTTTAGGTTATACATATTTTATACTTATACCGAACGTGTCTTTTCGACGGTTTGTCGTCCTTTCGAATAGAGTCATCGACATGAAAACGATCAATGATCGTAAATGAGCGATAAACTGCTTATATCATCAGATTTCTCTCTCATGCATTTAATCCTGTAGAAAGTACACACGTACACATACGATAAGCAGGTGGTTCGGACATTCGTTGGAATTGCAAACGTTTCAATGATCCGAATCGTCACACACGGCCCGTGTGTTTGCTAGAGCATGTGTTTGCATTAGCAATATCGAAGCGCGGGAAATCTCTCGCGCGGAAGAAAACAAACGGTATCCTACTTTTATCCTTCAATTCAATCAGTGAATCGTGAAAAAAATCATATACAAATCAAATCGTATGATGAATCACAATCATGACTTACCGTAGGGGGTCTCTTTCTTCTCCAGTTTCGGATCAGCTTTACTGACTACTTCGACGCTAGGTGTCGTCGGCGTCACCGTCGGGATATATTGCTCTATGGAACAGTCCGGCCCGCTCCAACCGGGAAAACAATAACACTTGTTGACGTTCGTACACACCTACGAGACAAGACAACTTTGAGGAACGACATGTACTCGCGCGATTCAACGTAATTCAACAGATGACGTAAATCAACCGGGTCAGATACGGATACGGTACGATATATTATTCTCTCCTACTCTCTCGTCAAACACAGTCCTCGTACACAGTCACGAGGAGACGATAGAGAGCTATAATGCAATTGTAACCAACGCGCGACGGTACGGACTTACGCCATTTCCGGAGCATTCGCTGTTGTCGTGGTTACTCGGGCATTTCTCTTGATCAATGTGTGGAAACAAGCTAGTGCATGTCTGATTCACGCAAATCTGAAATGAACAAGAACAAGATCAGTCAGCACGTGACGTCGGCACGAAGATGCACCAAGCATCTTCTTTTTGTTTTGTTGTGAAATAGCTATTCTACGAGAGGCTCGCTTGACTTTGAGAGACACAAGATCCCATATAGATTCTAATTACCAAATTGTCACCGCACGATGTACCATCACGGACCAACCCTGGCATATCCGGTCCGTCCACTTTCCCGGTCGTCGCTCTTAAAAATGGCGACCATTGAGTTGCATGATTCACGTCATTTTTTAGTTATGTAAATAATTGAAATTAACACAATATTACATTTTCATCGTACGAAATGTGCTATGTTAAATACTGATAACTGAGTGACGATAACTGAGCTCGTGAGGCTTCGCGTGGTGATTTGCGTCGAAGGCGTCAAGACGACGATCGTTTAACCTTGTAAACTACGATACAAACGAAAAGTAGTCACGAAAAGAAGAGAGAGTATGTTTTGCTCGCGAAAAGCTTGATGAATTTTTCGACCTCCGAGCACAGTGACCTATCTTGTCTTAAGACGTTGGATCACTCACTTGCACTCGTATTCCTGGCTCTTGATGGAAATTATAGTTCGGGAATAAAAGTCTTTCATCCCATCGATAATCGGTTGCTTGCTTCCTTGCTGACACTGAAGGGATCCGCAACGAACGTTCCTGAAGAAGCAAAACGTCTCTCTCTTTCTCTCTCTCTCTCGCGCTCTCGCGCTCTCTCTCTCTCTCTCTCTCTCTCTCTTTTTCCCTCTCTCTCTCTCTCTCTCTCTCTCTCTCTCTCTTTCTCTTTCTCTCTCTCTCTCTCTCTCTCTCTCTCTCTCTCTCCCGTTTCGACTCGATATCGGATAAGCATCGTTTAAACGTTCAAGACCACCAATGAAATGGAATGGAGATTGTGTGTCGTTGTTCGCGCTGACGATAAGGAGAGATTTCCACAGAGAGAGAGAGAGAGAGAGAGAGAGAGAGAGAGAGAGAGAGAGAGAGAGAATCGCGTGTGTCCGTGAGGATTACGATGAGAAGAAAGTGGTCTTATACTCACTCGGCCTCGCACTTGATCAAGTGACCGGTCGCGTCGGTGCCGCAGTGGCCGTTGATGGAGCCCTTGGAATTGAATTGCTCGAAGCACTGCTTGTCAGCGGCGATTCCGCCGTAACCCCAGACCTGCTCGCACTGCAGATCCAAAGCTGGGCACACCCCGTTGAAACAGTGGCCGGCGTTGTTTGAGCACGGGTTACCGTTCTTCTTATAGACGTCCGGTGGACACTGGCCGGTGTCGCCGGAGCACACTTCCGGTAGATCGCACTCGTTCGTCGACTCGCGGCAAACGACACCGCGAGCTCGGAGCTGCAGAGTTTCGTCGCAAAAAAGGTCCAAGTTTTGATACGAGAAACGGCTTCGGGAGCAGTAGACGACTATCGTCTCGTTAGTGCGCTAATGCTTGTGCGTGCGTGGCTTGTGCCATGCACTGGGTCTTTTACTTCTTCACGCTCGAAACGAGATTCGAGATACGATTCTCACGGAATTCTTACATAGAATGTTTGTCAATTCGTCGAGATTCGCGTCGAGGTTCGCAGGTGTTTTCTTCTTATTTACTCTTACCTTGCAATCGCTGCAACAAGGGCCGGTCGCGCATTCGGCCTCCGTCGTCAATTTGCAGGTGATGGGATCGCAACAAGGATCGAGCTCGTGGCACTCGTCGATCGATCCGCAGTCGCATTGTTCCCCGTCGTCGATTACCCTGTTACCGCATGATCTCCTGACCTCCAACTATTCCCAAAAAAAAAGATTCGATCGATTACCAGGCCAGTTTGAATTTGAGACGAACTTTCGTCTCGCTCTAATTCGCTCTAATTCGCTCGGAGAGTCGACTTTAGCTGCGAGCTCTTCTTTCACTCATTTCTTTTCTTTTCTTTTTTTTTTTCTTTAATCGTGATTTACCTCGTTTGGCTTGTTAAAAAGGCAAAAGGCGTGGCCGCTCTTCAAGGTTTCTATATACTCCGTTTTACTGCACTCGGAAAACTTGTACGGCTGAACGTTCTCCAGACCGACGATGGATTGAGCCATGATGCATCCGTGCCAATCGCGGCAGTTGCAGTCATTCTCTGGAATTGTTCAACGTCCCAACTTTGTTCACACACGTTCACACACGTTCACACACACACACACACACACACACACACTCTCTCTCTCTCTCTCTCTCTCTCTCTCTCTCGCTCTCTTTCTACTAATCGCAGTCGGTTAAATCATATCGGAAATGAAACAGATATAAATGTATGCGAAACTGACTTCCATCGTCGTGGCTCATGCCGATATTGTGACCGATCATGTGAGCCATGGTACCCGCCAAGAGATGAGGCTCATAAGTGTTCAGATCGACGCTGATTCCTACAGATTTCTGGCTGCACACGGTCGCGGGTATCGCCACTCCGGATTCTCCGCCTGCGAACGTCTCACCCCTGTCATTGTAGAAAAGTACACTTTCGATTAGATTAACGGTCCGTTCAAGTTTCAAGAAAATTCGAAAGGACGAGAGGGAGAAACACGAGAATGAGACACGCGTAAGAGGAAGTATTCAAGAGAAAGAAAGAAGAAAGGAAAAAGGAAAGACACACACATGCACACGAAGCAGAGCACAAAGTAGATTTAACCATACCCGGTTACGGGTACGAGCGATGAACTCACGTGAGCAACTGAGTGGTGTCCTGAGCAACTTGATACATTCTCCGCATCACATAATCGTTAAAGTTTAACAAGGCGAGATCGATTTCCATGCCTTTATCGATTTGCGCCTGGTTGCTGCCCTTCCAAGTTTCGATGTATACGACGGAGACTCTAGTGTTTATCGTACGGAAATACTACGAGGAAATCCAATTTAGCACACGCCCCCAGAGCCGCACTTAAGCAATGTGTACGCGCGCGGCCGCGCTTAAGCGCTAAATGTCGTCGTCGTCGTACTACTCACCAAATCTGCGATATTAGCGACTTGGATGGCATCGTGAACAACCTCGGCTCTGGTGCTACCGTTTCTTTTGTCGAACTGCTCGCAAAAACGCCGAGATTAGACGAGTTCAGATTAGAGATCGGATTACCGTTCGGAATCGGGGACGATTTTAACGAGCGCGCGTAGCCGCCTAGCCGTAGCTCGTCTCGTCGTACCTTTCGTACGTACCATGGCTTTATCGATAATGATGGCAGTTTCGATGTATTTGATTGCTTCACGGACGTCTCTTTTGTATCGATCGGAAGTGGTCTCTGATAGCCCGCGGGTGTGCTTCTGCCGGCGGCTCTTTACACGCCACTCAAGATTTCCCGAGTTAGCGCAGCCTTTGTTAGCTTTTGTTCGGGCTTCAAATATAATGTGAGGATGTTTCTGCTAAAAGAGAGGCCTGCATATAGTTAACATTCGCCGACCATCCAGTCTCGTGCCTGCCACTCCCCACGACTCTGCTCCATTTAATTATAGCGCAGCCTAAACTCCCGAGAAGACGACATGTCTAATCCAGGAATAAAATCACGCGAAATTAACCGGCGCGGAAATTAAAGCCGCCAAAATGAACACTCGGGCGAGTCGGTCTCTCTTATTTCGAGAGACCGACTCGCTCGAGAATCTTGCACTATGTCGCCGCGCAAATTACCAAATTCGCTCCCTCCCCCCCCCCCCCACCGTTCGCCGGGAGATTGTTGAGAATTCGACACGCGCAACTCGATTTATTAGAGAGAGAGAGAGAGAGAGAGAGAGAGAGAGAGAGAGAGAGAACTTGGTGCGCCCGAATTGAATTACACATTGCTACGATATATACAAATAATGCAGCCGTAGCTACGCGCGATCGACTGCAATATCTCACACACAGTTGACGAGAAGCAGTTTGACTGACCGACAAATCGCCGCCGTAGAACGGATGAATGACGAAAGTCTCGTTGCCTAAATGAATGACACCGCTGACACCGTTACACGTGTGAAAAGCAGCGCTAGCCCCTGGATAATCCCTCACAGTGCCGTGATAATAACAATGTTCTATCTCCTGCAAAAAAAAAGTTTAAACAATAACGCACCATCCGGATGAGGTGGTGTCAGGTGGCGATGCGAAACTCGGCCTGGATTGCTCGAGATTATTTTTACATTTAAGTATCACGTGAGTTTGGAACTTTATCATATTTTTCGTGCGCGCGCGCGACGCTCTGCTTATGTCTGCTTAACGAGCGGCCAAATAATGCACGCGGCGCTTGTTCGGCACGCTTCTTTTTCACACTTCTTCTTCTTCTTCTTCTTTTCCCCTCTGTTTCCGCAAACCGCGCGCAAGAATTGTACGCCGATTGACCCACGTGTGTCCCCCACCACATGGTGCGAAAATAACTCGCGACACCGCAGCAACCGCCTTCTTTTTTTTCGCTTTTTTTTTTTTCTATTTTCCTCAACTCGACCTTTAGAGCTGCCGCATTGCTCATCATGCCGCGCGCGCATCACCATCGCGATAAGCATCGGTGCGACCGGTAGGTAAAGGTGGATTTTCCAGCTAAACTTGATTTAGCAAACACGCGGAACACGCAGAGTGGAGCTAACTACGCAAACGATTAACGAGACGAATCTTCGTTAACGCGTTGGCGCGTTTGAGCGGGTTTGAGACACGTGAACACCCAAATGTTGTGTATTTATTATTTTACCGCATCGCGTCCGGGATGCCTTACCTGCTTAGACATTTGTTCCGCGTCGTTATCTAAAAAGTCTTTCTGAATAAGGTTCGGAGCTAAAAGTTGCCTGCAACAAAAGCAACGTAAACTTCAAATCTTTGTAAAAATGTGTCAGCCTACGGGGGTTTCCTCTGTACAGTATCACACGCAGTTTTTGAAATTCTTCCGAGGGGAGGTGGGGGGAAAGAGAGGAAGAAAGAAAAGAACGTCAATGTAGGCTATGTTTCAACTAGAGTTTGTAACTAGAATTAAAGTAAAGTTTAGTAATATTAATCGAAGGAACTTACGTATTTAATTCTAAATCTAGGCGAAATTTGTGATTAAAGGCCTTGATCAATAGGGACGTCCGATGAAAGTGCCTCCCTGTCTAGAAATGCCAGCAGCCGCGATTAATCTTCCGTTCATCTCACGTTACGTTGACACTTAATTAATTATTTTAAAGAAGCGTGTCTATCGCAAAACTTACTCTCATTCTGCCTCTAGAATTTTGATATCCTCCGTCTCCGTAACCTCTTTGAGGATACTGAATTGCAACAAAGACAACAATTAATCATTAATCGTTTTTAAGGCGTGTAAGGATAAGTAATATCGCTCTCGGTCGGCTGACGAAAAATTCCACACGGCGCGGCGAACAGCGCGAGAAGGGACCGGGGGAGGGCGTAAAAGTAGACAGCGCGGTACAGCGCGCGATTTTACCTTCGAGACGCCGACTTCTCTCGTGGATATCCCCATTTTCTCGTGATGCCGTAGCTGCACCGGATAGATGATCTGATAGAAATGGCCGCCGATATTTCGTACTAGCTCCTGGTTTTGTCGATATTCGCGTAGTAGTCGTTCGACCTCACCTGAAATCAATTTCCACGTTCAATTGAACGCCTTAATTTCAGCCCCCCCTCCCCCCTCCCCCTCCCCCCTCCTGCCCAGCTCCTGCGCGCCGCCCTCTCGCGCTTCCCTGCGATCTCTAATTTCATCTTGAATGAACATTCGGGCGAACATTCATTGTGGGTGCCGTAAACCGACGGCGAAATTTCGCGCTGTCGCCATTAACGTCCCTCCCGAAAACCGCCAGCATCGAGATTTCGGTACGTACGGTATAACAATACGGTATAATAATAACGGCGGTGACGACGCGTAAGACGACTCTATTCCTTCCTCCTGCGCCTCCGTCCCTCTTTCACCTGTGTGTTAACTCTTTCAATCACTCGCTCAGACTCGATTTCGATTTTGCCCGAGTGAAAGCGGCGGGACTCTTCCTCTGCGGGCTGACGCGGCGGCGGGCGCGGGCGGTTCTACGCGACACACATCTGCCATTCACACAAAATATTCTGCAAAATATCACACGTTTTCACACGTCTTTTACGCGCGATGTTCACGACGGGAAATACGTTTTACGGGTTACGTTTTCAAGCCGCGCGCCAGCGCGATTAAAACGTTTCAAATGGCCGTCGATTTAAAACTGTAGAACCGTCAGTCAGACGCAATTTATAAGTTCAAAATTATCGCCGCATTTCCACCGTCTCCATGCACAGGCGCTCCTCGAGCAATTTGTATTCTTCATCGACATTTTCCCCTATGTCCGCGCTCGTCCGCATAGTCGCGAGAGGTGCCGCTAGAGCACCTTGCATGTTGGAGAATTGCCATTATTCAGATCGACAATAGATATCGATCGCGTTGCCGAGTGCTTCTCTGGACCGATGCTGACTCTGCCATCCCGCCGTGAGTCCCGTTCCGTGCCCTTATTTCGAGAAGTTTGCGCGCGATTCCACGAATTCAATTTCTATCCACTCTTCAGCGTCGCCCAAACACGCCGAGATTACTCGCCGATTAATTTACCAGCGCTTCGCGCTGCGAAACCCCGACGCCCCGGCGGCGATTACCTCCCTCCGCCCTCCGCCCTCCGCCCTCCGCCCTCCCCCGCAGAAACGTCGCGCGAGTACTCTGCGCAAATTGCGATTAATTCAGCCGACAGTCACGACGGACATCGTTATGTTTCACCTCGCCCGGTGACGCTCGTTACATGTCGCGCGCGCGTGGAAACTCGCCCGGTGGTTTCGATTTTCCGTCAGAAATTTCTGACATCCTCCATCCCTAACCCTCCATCCGCGGAAGGAAAGGCATATCGTCGCGGCGCGATTTTCGAGGAATTTCTCAGACACTCAAATTCTAGGATCACTCGGATCGCATTCCTTCTACGCGTTCATTGAATTTTATGCACGATATATGCAACACACACACACACACGCACACACACGATATATCACCGGTACCGCTTCAGACTTTAGCAGACGTATGATTAAACTCTTTAATCCTTCGAATCTCTCCTCCAAAAATTTTCGCCCTTAGACCGCATCCAGCGCACATGTATGTATGCACGTGCGCGCACAGCGCCATGTTACACCGAGTTACGACTTTCGATTCCAAAATTAATTAAGTTACAAAATTGAATTTCCGAATAAACAACAGAGACGTTCAAATGGCATGTGAAATTGAATTGAATCTCGTGTAACGTTGCGTACTATTGCTGCTTACTCGTGTACGCTCAACGCTCTCCGCTTTAGATCCTAATCCCTAATTAAGCCGCTTAATTCCTCGAATCCTGCAGCCGACGTGGCGCCGAAATACATCACGTAAAATTTTCTCGGCTTTCGCACCAACTACAGTAGGTTGAACGAATGAATTCGCGCTGAGATGTCTCGAAATTTTTCCATGCCCGCAAACTCTCTCTCTCTCTCTCTCTCTCTCTCTCTCTCTCTCTCTCTCTCTCTCTCTCTCTCTCGCTCGAGCCAGAGAGATTTTCCCATTACACGATCGTAATATCTAGCCAGGCCAGGATTCGCACCCACTGTGCTCTATCCCGGTGCATTGTCTCCGTCTAAAATGTAATCCAATTTAAGTTTCGCGTTTCCGACCAATCAACGGTGTTGACTTAACAATAAACCGCTCGAGGATTTGTCGTATCCTCGAGGATCAAGTTTCTAACGAAAGTGCTGCATTGCGGTCCTTCCACTTTACGGGGTGTAGGTTTGTTTACGCAGAACCTCGTGCGCCGCGCGTTATCCCGCGTTAACCATCGCGCAATTGCGCAAAGAGATTGTGGTGACTAGTCTTCCGCTAATTTTTCCCACCGCCTGTTACGAAAGAAAGAAAGAAGAAAAAAAGAAACAAAGTCTACTTTAAGCGTGCAAATGATAATATTGAGATAAAACCCTTTGTTTGTTTTATGAGAGAGCGCAGAAACAGTCTTAATGTACACGAATTGATTAATCCCGTAAATAATTCCCGTTCAGAGTCTCGCCCATTGAACTTCGGCGGCCTTATAAATTAGCTCATTACACTTTAAACGATTCAGTCGTCAGTCATTGTGAGTTATTAACGTCACTAACGCTCATTAACGTTTAACGGTGTGTACCGACAATAATGTCGTGTAAATATTACGATGGTATCCGCCGATGATGTGTCTTCCAACTTACCAACGGGAGTTTCTTCGTTCCAAAAGGAATCATCTAAGGTGTAGTCGGCTTCTGAAACAGAAAGGAAGATACTCTGTTGATAAATTAAACATGCCTATCGAGCTTTGGCCATCGACGTAACGAGCCTGTCAACGAGCGATCATGCACAAAAAAGAACAAAGACAATTCTCCACAACAAAGAACCGAGAAAGAGCGAATAAATAAAATGCACATAGAATGTATATAGCCGAACTACTCTTTCTTCTCTTTTTTTTTCCTTTTCACAATAACCAGCCAACAATAACGTTACTGTGAAAAGACGTCAGGAGCGAAAGGATTAACAATAAACCAACGGGGAAGAGGGGAACGTGTTCAGGTATTTCAGTGGTTTAGACTGGGAATTTTAGACGAGCCGAACTTTAGTGAACTTCTCCAAGCAAAGCAAACTCTTTGCCAGCCGTGCTCAAACAAGGAATCGAGGATCAAAAGAACGGAGGATCAAAGGATTTAACATTTAAGAAGCTTAGGGTTCTGGACACCTCGGATCCAAGACGTCAGGATCCAAAGAATCTATCGGACGAGAAGCTTCTTCTTCGCGTAATTTGCGGTAAACTTTAATAGAATTTCAGTCCGGTGATGGTCTCTCAGTCATTTGCTCGGCCGAGTGTTACGGTGCTTTGGAAAGAGAGAGAGGGAGAGAGAGAGAGAGAGAGAGAGTGAGAGAGAGAGAGAGAGAGAGAGAGAGAGAGAGAGAGAGAGAGAGAGAGAGAGAGAGAGAGAGAGAAAAGAAAGAAAGAAAAAAAAAGAACAGAAGAAGAGGAGGAATTAAGCGTGCATTTAAATATTCTCTTTAAAAGCTAGTCTCTAATATTTCTCTCATTCTTCGTCCATACTGAGTTTTCACGACAGCCAAGAATACACATTCTCTCAGCCTGAATAAATTTTCCTCACGACTCACGCTCGAAACATACTATTTATATACCGTAACAGATATCGTAACAGAGCAAAGAGGCAATGACTACCAATGATGGACTATTGTGATGGAATATTGTAACATCCTGCGAGAATCCGTTAATTATGCAACTCCGGTTACTCGTCCGATTATTACGTTCGCTCAGCACTCTTTTCTCATCTTTATTCATCTGCACGAAGAGCTAAACTTTCTTTTTTATTCGCACATACATGACGAATAAATAACTTATATTATCCAGACACATGTAAGGCACTCTCTTGCGCTCTCGCGCGGACACAGCTTAATTGCCCGAGTTGTTTCTCTGTTCCCTTGATTGATTGCCGTAAGACAGAGTATTGTGTTCTCCTCTTTCGTCGGAAAGGGATCGCTGTCCGAGCGATCGCGATGGTGCGGTGAGCGTTTCGAGCAATCCGCTCGTAACGCTGGCCGCACCGCTCAAACCGCGCGGCGACGAGCGAGTAAAGATATGATAAAGACGGCGTGGTATATTTGAATTTTTATCCTGCGCAAGGATGAGAATGGATGGCGAAACTTTTTCATTGTCTCGCGTGTGAGCGCACGTGCAGAATTTCTTGCAGTAAAATTCATAAGACGGACGTAGCGAGGATAAAGGGACGGCGGTTTGTACTGGCCTACTTCCGGCAGCGGAGCACAAAAAAATCAGCCCGGGGCGAAGTCGGCCCCGAATGGATCGGAGTCAATGACGGACGGCAGCTCTATAGCGGCGATTCTTAACCCTCGCGAGCCCTTCGGGGCCCTTCGACTGAAACTAGAGCACCACTCGTCGCGACTGAGCGACTTGGTGGAATTTTTCGCACATACATCGTCTACGAAAATATTGTCTATCGTCTCTTACGTATAGATCTCTACATTTTTAAATTCACATCGCTAAATCGAGAAACCGCCGCCAGCTCTTGGGCGTTATCCTTAGCACGATATATTTAATATCGAGGTGTACAAGTTGATTAGCCCTGATTAGAGGAAACGAACGAATTCGAATCGGATTTAAAGTCGAAGTGACGAAAGATGTGTTTTTTCGGAGCTCTCGAAAAATGAAAGAAGTTCGACAGCGTTGCATGAGAAACTTGACAATCATACAAGTTATTTGAAACTCTTACGAGAGTTGGCGGAAAGGTTTCGACATCCAAGTCCCACGTTGTCACCAAGGGGGTCGCAGATGCATATAAAGAATGTTATTAATCGGCGTGAGGTTTGGGCAGGTTCGAGCACGTAAATACAGAAAAAAGCGAAAGATTTAATAACCCCGTTAACAAGATTTCACGATCAAAAGCTCGAGAAATCAGCGGAAGAAACGTGCGAGTTTGGAAAAATGGCCGAAATGGAAGATAAACACGCGAAAGAGAGAGAGAAAGAGAGAGAGAGAGAGAGAGAGAGAGAGAGAGGGCGGAGGGAGGGATGAAAAAATCTCCCTGGGGGAGATTTAGCTAGGTTCTGTCGAAGAGAGAGGTTCACCATGTCGTCTAACAATAGTCATATAACAATCGGTTTATCTAGTGCTCGAAGATTCCCGCTTCGAAGGATCTCGAAATCACCTAAGTTTCAAAGTACACTCGAAAAGGGAATGCAAAAGATTACGCGAGAGTCTCTCGATCGAGACTCGGCTAAACTCGGGCCGGTGTGTCACTGCACCGCGTTGCGCGAAGGATCCAACAATCCAGTTATCTGGCGCTTGGTGTAATTCTCGAAGAAATTCTCAAAATCCGCGGAAGAGCACAAGTTTTCGAACGATAAACGCGAAAAGACGCGATAAGTATATGAGAAAAATTAAAGATTCCCGGAGGGAGAAGGAGGAGCGGGGGGGGGGCGGTGCAGCAAGTTGTCAACTGAACAGTGTATTGTCGTATACGGTATTGAACAGTTGATTTATCTAGGGCTCAAAGATGTTCTCCAAAGTAATCTAAAATAATCACAATTTTCAAAATATATTCGCGCGAAATACACGCGCAAAAGGGCACGCACGATAGAGAGAAATAGGAAAAGAGATAGTCGGACAAACGACAGAAAGGAATGTGAAGAGAGAGAGAGAGAGAGAGAGAGAGAGAGAGAGAGAGAGAGAGAGGGAGGGAGTGATAGAGAGAAGGAGAGAGGAAGAAAGGAGAGAGAGAGAGAGAGAGAGAGAGAGAGAGAGAGAGAGAGAGAGAGAGAGAGTGTGTGTGTGTGTGTGTGTATGTGTGTGTGTGTGAGAGAGAGACAAGGGAGGGAGGGAGTCCTGGGCAAGGTTCGACTAGGTTGGGTTCGGCGGCATTGCATATCCCGGCAGATCTCGCAGGTGCAGGGCGTGGTGCCTTGTCGGCAATATCGATTACAAACCCGGGCGGTTGCGCATTCACGTCGACACGTGGACGTGGACCGGCAGCCAGACTAAATTTGTGTTGCCCTATATTTTAGGTCCCCGCACTCATCTGCCTCTCAAAGATTGATTGCTTTTCCCTCCATTCCTTCCTTTAGCCCTTCTCATTCTCTCTCTCTCTCTCTCTCTCTCTCTCTCTCTCTCTCTCTCTCTCTCTCTCTCTCTCTCTCTCTCTCTCTCTCTCTCTCTCTCTCTCTCTCTCTCTCTTTCTCTCTCTCCCTCTCCCTCTCTCTCTCTCTCTCTCTCTCTCTCTCTCTCTCTCTCTCTCTCTCTCTCTCTCCCCCCCCCCCACCTCTCTCTCTTTCGCTGTCATTTTTCTCTCTCGCATTGTATCTAACGGCACTGTACCGGAGAAGTTACGATACTTCGACGTGATTAAATCGTTAAGGTTCAAATACTTGCAAGCTTGAAAATGCAGGGATCCATAGGAACAATTTCGAGGATATGGACACATCCCGTGATATCAGGATCTACAGATGAAAACACAGTTGGGGAGGATCTGTTCTCTTTTTAAAGAACCAAGAACGGCAAGAAAACGTATTAGCGTAGAAATAATGTCTTTGTATTTTTCAAGCTTTCGCAAAAAGAGCTGGGGCGGCATGCAAAATTAATTAAAATTAACGAGATGGAATTTCCGCAAGTTTGTAAATTATTTGTATTATCACAAATACTTATTACGGGAGAGATACAAAGCTCTAATAAGGGGAGCCAAGGAGCTTAGAAATTTTAGGATGCAAATCTGAGGAATTCGCTGAAGCTGAATTCGCACACGCGTATGCAAGGTACGTGTGTTTCTGGATTTCTAAAATTTCTTAGCCACTCGTTACTGAAAGATAAACTCACCCTCCCTGTCTTCCCCCCCCTCCCCGTTCCCCATGCCCTCGCCACTACCGCTTCGGTCGCCACTAGACGCTTCGCGTCCGTTCCGTTGAATTCATTTCGTACAAAGAGCATGTTACTCGACGCGAGCACCTCAGCGAACATCTTAAACTGCCCTTACTTTTTAAGGCCCTCTTAAGTTTATTGCCGTAGAAGAAAGAAGCGTCGGCTGTCGATTCTTTCACAAGTAAAATTTCTCCCGTCGCTCCCGTCGTATATTGATCTCTTTTTACAGTCGCTGTAAAAGCATTTCCGCAGAGAGCTTTTTTTGGTAAGAAGAAGACGTCCGCGAATTTACGAATCGTCGGTTCTACGATGCTAAGAATGATCTCGCGACCGTAAACTCAAGTGAGCTGGAAGTTCAAAGAGCCAGACGAATCTGAAAATCTGAAAATCTCCAGATCTCTTTGTCAAAGAGATAGAGATCGAGAAGTTATAGATTTAAGAAGCCATAAATTCCACGGAACATCGAAGCAATAATGTATCCAAGTGCTTAAGATTCATTGGCGAGGGAGAAGATCTTCGTCGGGATTTCCCGGCAATCAACTAATTTGTTCGTACGCCTTACGGTACGGCTTACCGATGTGTCGCGTTAAGTCCGGTGTCTCTCGAACACTGAGAGACACTCGGCCGCCGGGTAATAATAATAATCTGCCGATGCGCCGTGAAAAACATAAACCCCTGCCGAAAATCCCGGCGCGCAAAGTAATTTCCTCCGCCGAAATGATCAGCGGCCTTGTCTTCGTCGTGTTCCGCGCGCGCGTCCTGAAATCCCGCGCGATTACGGCCTTAAACCCACGCGCAATCCCAAATCCGCAGCATCCCTCTCTAGACTCAAAGGGTTGCGTC